GGGTGCTGGGGAGATCCCAGGGCTTCCGGGGATCCCAGGGGTTCCCAGAATGGTCCCAGGGATCTCGGGGGGGGGGTGGTCCCAGGGGGATCCCAGAGGTCCAGGAGTTCCTAGCGGGGTCGGGAGGGTCCCAGGGGTGCCGGCACCCACCAGGCTCATCCGCGCCTTGATGCGGTCGAAGTCGATGCGTGGGATCATCTTGAGCGAGATCTGGTTCTGGCTGGGCTCCACGTAGTCCACCTGCGGGGGACACGGGGGGCCGGGTGGGACATGGGGGACCCGGCGGAGACATAGGGGAACACGCGGGAGGGACACAGGGAGACACGGGGGACACACCAAGGGGGGACACAAGAGGGACAAAGGACTCGTGACCTGGTGACTCCTCATGACCAACAGCCCCCAAACAAGGTCCTTGGGGTGACCTGGCGGGGTCCCCATGTCCCGCCCCCTAAACGATCTATTTGGTGTGACCTGGGGGGGTCCCCATGGTCGAGACCCCCCAAAGCCAAGTCCTTCATGGGACCTGGTGGCTCCTGATGATCAAGACCCCCCCAAACCGGTTCCTTGGGGTGACCTGGGGGTCCCCATGTCCCACTCCCCAAACCAGACCCCTGGTGTCACCCGGGGGGTGCCACCCCCCAACCAGAGTGCGCCATCCCCACCTGGGCGATGTCGTCCTTGTAGATGCCCCTCTTGAGGCGCACCCACGCCTTGGGCTTGAGGTTGGTGACCTCCTTGACCACCTTGAGCACGTCGGTCATCTCCTTGATGGGGACCATCTGCTGGTTCCAGTAGCCGGCACGCAGGTTGCCCACGCCCTCGATGGCCTGCTTGACGTGCGTCTGCTTGTAGGCCTCCACGTAGAGGTAGCCCTTGACGTGCTCGGGGGCCACCACCGACTTGATCTGCAGGGGCTGCGGGGATATGGGGACATGATGGGGCCGGTGGGGCACCATTGTAATGATGGTGGCCACCACCGCCTTGATCCGCCACAGCTAAAGGGATATGGGCCATGAAGATGTGGTAGCACCATCGTGGTGGTGGTGGTGGAGGCCACCACCGCCTTGATCTGCAGGGGCTGCGGGGACACGGGGACACGATGGGGCCGGTGGTGGCACCACTGTC